GTTTGTTTGTTTGTTTGTTATTTTAAGTTGCAAACACTATTGAATCAATACTAACATAATCTTAACTTCTAAAAGCTCTAAGCCTTCTAATAACACGCAACGTGTGAAGAGGCCAGAGGGTGGAAACGAGCCACTGTAATGTCCAAAAAAAATTAATCTGGGCTGCATCCGACCATGTTATGTTTAAAGAAACCTTTCGTCAGAAGACTGAAGTTTTGTTTCACACTTTGTTATATTTTATTGGTGGATTGCAATTTATGTATCTGTATATAAAGTTGGTAAGATAAGGAGTGTAATTATTTAAGTGGGCAAAGCTAGCGGTGTGTATGGTTGAGAAAAACTGTAGTATGTGGACCACCCCGATAGTGACTTACATGTGACACAACAAAACTCTAAACTTCCCACACTGTAAAATTGTTTGCAAACGTGAAAGGAAAACACTTTATTTATCAGTGCTGTGAGAAGACGTACATCGTAGCTAAAGATGTGTTATTGTCTATTAGGTTTTGTGTGCTAATTATGAGAGTGAACTAAACTGCAGCTGTTTATGTAGGCCCCACATGAAGTCTATAAGGTCACTAGTGAGTTCTATATTTACCAACATCGTAACTGAAGATGAGCTGTTATCTAGTTATTTTCGTGTTTATGAGAGTGAACTAAACTGCAGCTGTTTATGTAGGCCCTACGTGAAGTCTGCAAAGTCACTAGTGAGTCTTATATTTACCAATAATATAATTGTATTTAAAAACTAAACTTTATTCATCAAATTGCTATTTATTAAAGAGAATGGAAATGGTGTCTCGGCATTTTGTAAGAAACTGAAACGTATATATCTGCCAAACATAATGTATTAGTTGTTTTTTTTTAATTGAAAATCATTCCGGAAAATATTTATTAAATTTCAATCAGATATGAAAAACAGTAGTCCTCAGAAGAGGTCGAGGACGGGGACAAATATGTACTGTACGGGACTCTTCAGATGTTTGATATGGCGCTGGTGAGAAGTAATTAATAACGTAGTGCTTAATAACAGTTACGAAAGCTTGTTGTGGCGTTAGAAGCTTAAGTACGTAAACTTCAACAAATCTGGGATGTTAGAAAAAGTTCGTTAAAAAGAGTATTTCGAATTATTTATGAGAAATACGTAAATATGGAATACCTGGTATATAGTAAACAAGAGTTCAGAAGTATTGCGTATTTAGTTGATCAACTGAAATGATAAAACTTTGATTTAAATATAGATATATAGTGTTTAAAAAGTATAATTATTTTTATTTTTCTATCATTAATAATGGAAAAAATGGAAACCTACCAACCGACGAAATTGCTCCAGATTTCTTGTGCACTTGCATGTTCTACGTTGAAAAATATTCCATAAATGATATATCCCTATGATTAGTTTTGTCTGTAATATACTGCATTAAAATAGGAGCCTACAAGGAAAATTGCGTCGGGTCCTATGTGCAGGTGTTTCAGCGAACCGGTGCAGTAGTTAGTGAAGTGAATATAATATATAATGATACCAAATTCTGAAAGAGTTCGTTCTTTATGTATCGTTTCCTTTATGATATTAAGTATAGCAATAAGAGGGAATCATTTTTTCAAAAACATAATACAACAACTGACTCTTGCACTTAAAAATATGAAATTCAGATTGTTAAAACATGCTTGTGATTGACTTACGACCAAATGCAG